GCGCAGCATTCTGCAGCTGAGAATAAACAGGAACTCACTCTAGTCAATGATTCACTGAAAAGTAAGAAGTAATGAATATAACAAGGTATTTTCTTAAAAGTACAATCATCTGAATTACAGTTTATAGGAGAAGGAAGTACACTGTTATTTTACAATTATGGTGGAAAGTGTATTTGTATTATAAAACTAAGTAACTGTCCTTAATAAAACATAGAAAGGATATTTTTGCAGCTAATATCTTATTTCCCATTGCTGTGCACTTTGTTGAGTCATTTTGGCTTGTGCGAGGCAGGAATAAAACTTTACTAAATAAAAATGGTGACAATTTGTATCTATTTGCAAAAGTCTAATTACATAAGAAGCAAATGATGTAAGAAGCAGGGCAGAGAGATAGACCAGAAATGATGTTACAAGTGCTATAAACGCCAAATGAAGATGAAATCCTGAAGCTGACTTTTTATATGGACACACTAGTAAAATCCTGTCAATTATGCTATTTGGTTTCCTTTTTCTTTTCCTTCCCTTTATAGTACAATAGATATAAACTTACTTTAGGAAAAAACATATGAAGTAGTTCCCTGCTCAGGTAATACATTTTTCCTACATATTTAGATGAGCGTAGGTGGTTATGTAGTTAACTATTGTTGTATAAGGAGGTGGAGTTAGGGTTTCCTCACTCTACTCTAATTTTGCTTTACATGGGGTATTTGCGTAATGCAGGGAAGCACATCCTGCTGATCCTCTGGCAAAATTATGACTGTACCCAGTGTATTTCTTCTTTTCATAGTATTTGTCTTCCTTTTATCTCACCCTGCTTTTCTCAGTCTCGCTGTATTTGTTTCAGTCCTTTTTACTGTGTCTTTCTCTGTAGTTTTCAATAGACTTTTTTTTCCCGGTCTGCTTTGAGCAAAACATGAACCGTATCATATTTCACTTAGAATGGAAGTTGTGCAGTGTATGACACTGGAATAATCTGCTATTATACTGAACCAGTACAAACCTCTACTTGCTGCACTCACAGTCAGTTATATAGGCCACCTCAGTTGTGTCACCCAGGTCACCACAGGCAGCTATCCCAGTTTGACAGAAGGAAGGAGAGAATTGCATAGAATGGCTTTACACTTACAATGTCATGTACAAAAAAAGCACTTTGGATTCCAGATGTTTTGGATTTCTGTACATGTGTAAAAATGCAATGATATTTTATTGCTTACGAGTTTATTTTTTCCTGAAAGGGAGATTTGTTTTGCAGTTAAGCACAAGAGAATATTACTTCTGTACATTAAAAATGCTTAACTCAGTGTTATTAACATGGAAGTTGCTCAAGTATGACATGTAAAAACATAACTTTTGTCACTGCATTTTTCATTGGTAGAAAGACAGGGTATTATTATTAAGACTCAGGACAAAATATTAAGAATTTTGGAGGCAAATGTAACATAGCCAACATTATTCATTTCACATGGAATGTTCCAATAAAGCACCTTCATGCCATGAAGATATATAAGAATACTTCATACAACACCTTCAGTACAGCACGGCTATAAGCAGCAATATAAAGAGCGCCAAGAAGAGCAGCCTTTCTTCATAAATCTCACTTAAAAATAAAAAAAATCATTCTTCTGCCTAGGCTTCAAAGTATGTACAAATAATATATTTTAAATTTAAGCTACAGTACAGCTACAAACTGGCACTAGGGCCACTGAAACAAGCAAGTCAGAATCTGCATTTTATTTTGTCACTGAATTGCATGATGGCGCTATGTAATGAATTTACAATGGATGGATGTGGGACCAGGAGGCACCTCCTGGATCTTTCAACTCTGTCCTTAAAATAATGAAAGAAAATTGGTTGATAACTGTCCATAAACAGAGGCACACACTTTTGGCATAGGCCGAAAGGTAATTAATAATGTGCTCAATGCATAAGCTCGTTTAACCTGTATCTGTTATGCTACAGAATCTCTTCACAGTGGGCTAATGCAAAAGTATGTTCTTATCTAGATAGCTGAAAAAGAATATTTTTATAAAGCCATTGGATGCCAGCAAGGCCTACGTATATTAAAGATATATATTATTGTCTTTGACATGACCTTGCCCTTTTAAATATTTCATCTAACCAGTAATAGAATTTTTTTTCTGAAATGTTTGCCAAGAATGCTTTAAATGAAACTATCATTGAGAGTCGTATACACATTTAAAAAAGACCTGGGCTGCCATCCAAGAATTACACATGCCTGAAACAAATGCTTAAACCATGTATTCCGATATATGTGAACTGCATGGAAAAAATACAAACCCAAACTGCCTGTCCTGGTTTCCATTAGCCCTGGATTTCTTACTATACAAGATACTTGGCCTGTCCAGTTCCAAAGTGCATAGGGAAGCACCAGCTGAAATATTTACCATGTTCAGGTTACCTAAGACCCGAGGTCCTATGTCCATGTGAAATATCATTAAGCCTCCGCTTATATCGGTTTGAGATTCTGAAATGGAAGGGTCACTCCTCCCTGGACAGTTTTTAGCATTACATGGAAAAAGATGCCTCTGCAAAGCTGTTTTAAGGGAACTCTGGATTGAATAGCGCTGCCGTGAATCAGGGAGCACGACACCTGTGAGACATTTGGGGGTCTTGGGTTCCCTGTGATGGGTACTGTGGGGAGACCAGTGTGAAAACAGAGACTTGTGTCAGGTTTTGTTAACAGTCTGGCTGGGATTTGGGGCTCATCTTTGAAGGCTTGCTTAACTGCCTGCTTGAGATGGTTCATATTAGTTCATGCTCCTGTGAAGTACAGGGGATAATCTGATCAGATCAGTCAGGATACAGATAGGTAGGATACCCTCAAGGGGTTAACCAGCTACTGATTACTTGAAGTTCATGTGGAGTCACCAGTGATGTGGAAGGAGTAACATTTTACAGCCCGTACCCTCACTATTGACTCTTTACCCAGATATCTCAATTCAGGTTTGTCTTCATGCTCTCGACACATTCATGAATTGTCTCCTTGCACGTTATCCTCACCAGCCAAGCTGGCATAAAGTGAACTCTCAGTGGATGGTGTCTTGGAGGCTGCCCTCCAGCACTTCAGATTATGTGGTAGCGCTGAGAGAGTCTTTAATCTTAGCACTTGCACTGTTACGAGAGCATGACTAACTTATCTTCACAGAGGGAGAGTATCTGTCACCCCAAATTTCCACCTGACTTTTCTTTTGAGATTGCTGGGATTGCTGTCTCTGATTCGTATCACCTAGTGAATGGTGAAGGTGAAAAAGATTTTTACTTTATGGCCCACAAAGGATTTATCTTCTAAAAGCCTCTTCCTAAAAAATGGCTAGCTTAAAATACAATAGGAAAAATTAATCATAAAATATACTGCTGTGTTTTTCTACATCACCTTCTGTTCGGTTTTGTACTCAGAAATTATTTTGTCTCAGTACAAATATCGCTAAGGTAAATAAATCCAATTCTGCATCAGTAAACCTTAAGAGAGTTTCAGAAATTTCCATTAGAATTTCTTCTGAGCCAATTCAGTGACATCATTCATGGAAGCTGACCATACAGAGATTGCTGCAGACAGACTTGTAAGAAGAGATAAATGAATTGGGTATTATCTGCATAAAAATGATACTTAGGACCGTAATGGGAAAAGATGTAAGTCACAGAAGGATGCCAGTGTTGAAAAGTCAGCAGCAGAGGGTCTGCATTTCAACAGTTAATATCAGAACTGCATTTATTAATGGTGACAAAATAACGTAACTGAGACAGTGAAAATAAAACTATTTTAGAACCATTTCAGGAAACTCTAGGATATGCTTCAGGCATTTTAATTACATCATACAAAGCTGTACAAATAAGACAATTTAGAGTTTACAGTCAATCAAAGCCACCTGCATCCAAAGGTCATCACAGCTTCATTACAATGGCATTAGCTAAAGCTTGCTTGAAAGTTAGCTGCAAGGGACAAAGGTAAGGGGAATAACTCAGCTGTGGACAATAAAAATGGAAATTCACAGAATTATCAGAGCAATGACACCATCTGTTGCACGTAGCATCATCTAAATAATGTATTATTTACTGTATGGGTTTGGCACATGGAAGTGTTGAGCGGGAGAAAAGTTGTGGCACTGCTGGTGATTGAAGCGTAGTCCTAACTCCGACTTAAAGGACCTCAGGAGAAGCCTTTGTAGTTGCATCATTACAATGCTGGTACTGACTCTTAATAGTAGGATAAAACAGTAGTTTGACTTTCTGTGTTGCTTCTGGGTTTATCCTACAGTTTTCTTCTTTCAGCAGAAGGACTGATGATCTGTCTTTAGGGAATGTTGCACGGAAACACCTGCTAACTCCAGTGTAACAGTGGCACATGGGGAGACATGAAAGCACAGAAAACAGAGAGGTCAAGAGCCTTTCTCAGAAGACATGTGGTTCAGTTCAGTTCAGACTTTTCAGGCCTGCACAGGTGATCAGGAGAAGACTATTTATGTGAATGATTATCAGGAAACAACGAGGGGAAATACTGATAGAAAGGCTGGGACTTGAACTGCATTACTTCAGGAGAACAGATTTGCAGTGTTTTCAGGATCTTGTATGAAACTTGGTAAACTGAAAGGTCCCTGTAGTGGGATGTTTTTAATTGCCTCTGGTACCTCCTATAAGGATGAGATTTCTGCAAGCTTTTTGTGTAGACCTGATTCTGCCTATTTAAGCCAACAGGAAGCATTTCAGAAGAATCCCAGCTGTCACCACTCCTGGGGATTGATTTTAGGAAATTTGCTCCTATATTAATGATCACCAACACAGAGCAGAAGTCTGTATCTTTTATGTTTAGACTCCTGTTAAGATCCTGGTGTTGAGGACAGCGCCAAGTAAGAAACAGGAAAACATGCACTTGATATATTTCCAAGCAGTTCCGTTGTCACAGACCTAGCCCCTCCACTGCCAGGAGGCAGGTGAGTTGTCCCAATAATTCATTGCTCACTCTGACTTTTTTCTTCTCTTAGGAAAAATATTTATCCCTAAAGAAAAGCCCATAGAAACTCGTACAGAAGAGAAGGTGACCCTGGATCCGGAACTAGAAGAAGCCCTGGCCAGTGCTTCAGACACTGAGCTCTATGACCTTGCAGGTTAGCTACTACATAGGTATGATGCCTACACTCGTTCTCCTCTGCCTGGACCTTCCTCCAAGAGTTTCTCATTGTCATCTCCCAGGAACCAGTTATTTCACTATACATTTTGCGGAAGGGATGGGTCAAGATGGTAGGTTGCAGACTGGGGTGTTTGCTTTCGAGTGAAGACCATTGATGCCACTGCATCCATGCTGTCTACAGTGCACTACTGCTACCCCCTCTCCATTCTTAACACCCCACATGGCAGTAGGGACAGGTCAGACGATGCAATGGATGAAGATCCTGTTTCCATGAGGAAATTTGGAATCCATGTCCTTGAATCAGGACAATTGGTTGCCTCTGAGTTACATGCACACTGATTAGACCTGGCTTATCCTCACCGCTTCTGATTATTTTCCTTTAATCCCAAGTAGAACCTAGAGTTCCAGAGTGTGCACACAAGAGAGAAATCTGAAGTGAACCCTCTCACATAAACGTGAGTAAAGACTTGAACCTACAATACAAAAAAGGCCAATCTGTAGTTCTTGAGCTGTCTGTGGCTGTCAAGGGGTTCATGTCATGGTTAGGTCATCTGAATATACCAGTAGAAGATCATCTGAATCCCTAACGTGGGAAGAAGGAAACCAGCAAAGGCTGCTCAAGCCAGAGCTGAGACACCCCTATGCAACCACTGTTCTCTCCTGCCTCTTCAGCCCAGTTCAAGTGGATCCTTCCCTCCGCAATCTGAGGTGCCTTCTGGCTGTTGTCTATACAAGGATTTGTAGACAGTTTTATGTTTTCCATTAGGAAAATCTAAATGAAATATTTCAGTGTATTTGATTAATCTAAAGCATTTTATTTTGGGCTAGATCAACATTAAACTTAAGCTCTTGAAGAGTTGATGATCCCATTGAACGACATTATCTCACCATTTTCTTCTGTGATTACTGGCTACACCATGTATTTCTGGAGGCATCACAGTCTTGGCTCTGACTGATCCAATGTGGTATATCACAAGAATCATAGAATTACAATGCAGCTGGCACTTCTTCCGTAGAATGAAGTTCCAAGGTTTGCTCAGCTCTGATCAGTACCCAGCATTTCATGCTAGAATTTGTACATAACAAAGTCTAACGAACAACAACAAACAACACACCTTCTGAAGAGAGTTTTGAAAATAGGCAGCAGCAGCAACTAAAAAGTCATTTGCTTATGGAACAAAAAGTATTTTTCATTAAAAAAAATCTGATGATAAAGGTAAAAATCTACCTTAAGTCCATAACTTTTAATTCATAAATGATCCTATAGAATAAAGTCCAAGCAGATACTTCATCAGAGAAGTATCAGCAAGCACTGCGTGATTTATCCTCTGACACTATGGAATTTAATTTGTACAGAAGATAACTTTGCCTACAGCTTGTTTTATGGAGTTTTGGTTTCTTTTGTCATTTCTCTCGTAATAGTTTATATCCTCACTATTTATTTTAAAGTACTGGAATATATTCTTTTTCTTCCCAAGCATGTTAGCATCCATGTAGTTCTATAGGAAACCACAAGATGATTATAATGAATGCAAATTTATTAAGCTAACCATGTATAAAGTCAAACACTTCTCGGTTGTGCCAGAAAATAGAACAAGGGGCAATGAGAGGTTCAGATTGTTCATTAGGAAAAAAATTATTTAGGAGGGTAGTGTGGCATCGAAATGAGTGAAATGAGTGTGGCATTGAATTCCAACCCAAAGAGGTTGTGGAATTTCCATCCTTGGATGTTTGAAGATCTAGCTAGACAAAAACATGGCTGATCTGAATTAGTGTTGGCAACAGTCTCACTTGAGTGGGAAGCTGGACAAGATGACCCTCAGAGGTCCCTTCCAGCCGACATTTCTATGTTTCTATGATATGCATACTGCAATCATTGATTTGTTCGATGACCTATATTAAACATACGCTTCTAGTATTTAGACCCTAAAGAGTTACCCAACAAGCAATGAGAGAGTCACAATTTTGTAAGGTTTATCTTTTTGGAGACCTACATTAGAATTTGTAGCAGACATTTTTCTGCAAACTTTGTTTCTGCTATTAATATTGTATTCTGTTGCTGGTTTTTACTCATTTGTAGCTGTTCTTGGCGTGCACAACATGGTCAACAACCCAAAATTTGACGAAGGAGGAGCCCGCAGTAAAGATGGAAAAGGAAGCGTGAGAAGTAAGCAAGCAGATTTATCTTGTGGGCTATATGTCTTCTTTAGGGAATTATACAGCTATAAGTTGAGTCTATTGGTCTGATTTAGTTTAGTGTAACTTGGCCTTACCTTGATTGATCCAACTAATCATGAAGGGGAGCTCTTTAAAGTAAATACAGTCTAAAATTCATTCTCTATAATGACAACAATAACATGCAAATAAGTCATTCATAAGGAGCTTTGTTTTCCCAGGAAGCCACATCTGGCTCTGCAGAGGTGCTTGAAAGGGCGGGAACATTTACAAAGCCAAGATACAGGTATTTTTGTTCCACTTTAGTTTAGGCAGGAGACAGAACTGTACTGTACTGTACTGTAGCTAAGAGGTGGTCACAAGGCCACACTGCAGGTGAGGCCATCTCACCCTGAGTATATATATTTACATAACTGAAGAATGACTTGTAACTTTTAGGCTCTAGCCCCTAGATAGGGGCAGAATATCTGGCAAGGTTATGTCTCTGGCCAAATTCACCGTAATCTGCATTCAGAGTGATGCAAAGACTGTATGAAACTATTACTGCTCTGGCTGCTCCGTATGATCTGTTAATTCCATCTCAGATCAGTAGTGGCATATTTAAATGTTTTTATAGTTTGTCTGTTATGTGACTCCTTAGGTACAGTCCACAGAAAGTATAACAACTCAGGAAAAAAACACAAAGTAGGGAAGTAGTTATTAAAAACGAAACCAGAAATGCTCACACTAAATAAAACATACCTCTGGCATATCAGATTTTAGCTCAACAACTGACAGGACGCTGGCAGGAAGAAACATTTAAGTGTGAGTTTCAAGTTTTTCTTGTCACAGATTTAAAAGCTGCCAAGCCCTTCACCTCTAAGTGGGCTAAACTTTGCTTTTTCAAGTTGTAGAATGCTCTTTACTAAATTTACAGGAAACAGTACTCAAAAAATACTTTCTTCTTGCAAGGCCATGAGAACGGCAGCTATCATTACCAAGGGCTTTCATTTCCATCCTTCCCTAAAGGAAGGGGAGGTGGGAAAGTAGGCAGGACACCATGTCTCTTCATTTTTCTCAGGATTAAGGCTGCTCTGCAAACCCCCACAGTGGGGCCCTGTGCAAGCTGCCATCTATCTCATAACAGGCAACTGCATGCATTACTAATCCACATAGATTTGGGACTATTTTTGTTGTACTGAGTCAAAATGTTAACTATGTGAGTCTGCTAAACTATGCTCCAATCACAGATTTAACAAACAGAAAATCACCCTGCCGGATCACTTTGTTCTTTGGTCCAAAAGCAATACCTTTCCCTAGCCAAGTGAAACGTTTCAGTAGAAGGAGACACATCTCAAAAGTTGCCTGCTAATATGGCAAAACAGTACCATGATTAAAGAAACAAGATAAAACTTATGTGAAGCAAGAATAAGTAGAAGAAGAAGAAGAAAAAAAACCTACTGCTAACTCTGAACTGGGTATAATGGGCTATTGGACCTGAGAACAGGGTCTAGGTCTCCCCGGCTCCCTGCTCAGCAGGCTGTTTCTACAAGTACAAAAATGCTTGGCTGTTTTTTTCTGTTCTTCTTAGCTGTGAATCCAAGATGTGGTGAATGCTCTAAATGGATTTTACTAGCAATTTTCAATTTCCAGCTCACTAGGAAGGCTGAAGTATTATGCAGGCATATGTGAGATCTCTCAGGGAATTAGCAGAAATGGGTTGAGGTACAAGCAAGCAGAGTAAAAGCCAGCTCAAGGTTTATGTATCACTTCATTTTTACTAAGAGTGTGGGCTTTAAAAAATATTTTGGTTTTGTTTTGGCCCATGATATGTGATGAACTTTACCCATGGCATTGAACAGAAATGCCATGAAACAGAAATAGTACATTGAGACTTAAGCACAAGGCTTCAAAATAACTCACTGTCTGCAGCATAAAATAAGAGGGTTTAAACATACTTGTGGTCAGTAACATATTCCTTTCTTGCCTCTAGTGTCTTGGGTGGTCAGGGCTTATAAATTAATCTCCACAACTATATGCCTGGGAATTAGAAGTACTAATTGCGTTCTAAGCTATGATTTTTATGCATCTCTAAGCATATTTATAGCTCATAGCTGCCAGCATTAAAAATTGTATCTCTTTGGAGCACAGATACTCAAAGACTTCATAAATCCTGGTGTTGGCAGACAGACTTGCTTTTCATTCTTTGATAGTTTTGTTATTTAGAAAGTGCATATGCTGCAATTTTACAAGAGCTAATTGAATTTATAGTAAAGCTGAAAGCATCAGACTAGAGGAGGAAAGTTAGGGGCCTCCTGACTGTGTTCCTTTACATTAGCACAGTCTGTTTGTAGGTGCAGAGACCTCACCTCATTTCTCACTAATGTAACAGGTATGTTCGGAGGGTACCTTCCTTTGCAGACTTTAGCCTGAGAACACAGCAGCCCTTGCAGTATATTACATCTTATATAGTACTCTTAAAAGCTGCTTTGGCTCAAATTAGTTGCACTAGGACTTTCATGCATAACGGAGGAATTTTCCCTTGACGATGCTGCCCAGCCACTGTGATTGCACTCCCAAGTGCCATGCTTCTGGATGCACAGAAGGTGCAAATGGCATGGCACAGATATAAATCTAATTGTCCTGGTTACAAGTCGTTAAGTTCCTTTAAACCCTTGCTTGAACACTAGAGTACAAACCTAAATGAGAGTTGAAAAGCCAGACTGTTTCTGAGGATGCCTGTTTCTCATGTCAAAATGTAATGACATCTTGTGTTGCAGATGTGGTCAAAGGTGAAAAGGTCAAGCCCATTTTTGAGGAGCCACCTAACCCAACCAATGTGGAAGCAAGTTTACAAAGGATGAAAGCAAATGATCCTAGTCTCATAGAAGTTAATCTGAACAACATAAAGGTAGATGCTGTGGTTTCATTTATGTCATCACAGGAGGGTTTGCTCAAGTGTTTCCAAAGTTCTTGTCTTTTATCTTCAAATTTTGTCTCTCTTTACAGCACAAGAAAAGCAGGAAACACAGGAAAGGGCTGTGGAGGGAACTGGTCTAGAGCGCCAAGGTCATCCATGCCTGCTATTGCATTAGATGCCAATTAAAAGCCCAAGGGGTGATTCCCTCTGGCTGTCTTTCTTTAGCAGCTCGTAAAGCAAGATATCTCATGGGCACTATATAATCATCACTGGCCTAATTCAATTAGCCCACCCATGCAAATAGAGGAGGGGCTGGGATGTGGAGACTCTGAACAACCAGCAGCAAAACAGGAAAGTAGCTCACGGGTCGGTCATGTGCTTACATTGGCCCGACCCGATTAGAAGTGGTGCTGACAGAGAGAGCATCCTCGCATGGGCCTCCAACGGGCCTCTGCGGGCAGCTACGAGCAAAGAATGAGTTGTCCACTCAGAGATACTCTTAAAAGCACTGAGGATGATTAAATTGCATACACTGTGGCTATTAATGAATCAGTCTGGTAATAATTGGAATCAGCGTCTACTGATGTGACTGGCTTTCCCAATTACTGGATTTATCTTTCTCTTAATGTAGAACATTCCTATTCCAACACTGAAAGAATTTGCAAAAGCTTTGGAAAGCAACACACATGTGAAGACATTCAGCCTTGCAGCTACTCGAAGCAATGACCCTGTAGCTATTGTAAGTATAAACATCGTTTGGAAAAAAATACCGATTTTCAAGTAGGTCTGTGTCTGCTGTAGGACGCATCCTTCATTTTCCCTTGCAGAATTTCCCTGTGACAATGCATATGGGCAGGGTAATCTATTCTGGTGCACCGCTACGTTGTTCTGAGCCTATTTGTCTTTTCTTTCTTTGTAGGTACTAAGCCACGTTTTGCAGATTCTCTGTTGTTTCCTGAAGCTTTCAGGAATTTGATCTCATATTCCCTCTTTTTGGCCCCTCAGGCATTTGCTGATATGTTGAAAGTGAACAAAACGCTGAAGAGTCTGAATGTAGAATCCAATTTCATCACTGGGACGGGTATTTTGGCACTGATTGATGCACTGAAAGAGAACGAATCCCTGACAGAGATTAAAATTGACAACCAGGTAAAGAGAGAACACTGAACCTGAGCCCGCTTTGTCTCCCTTTTAGACAGATTCCATATATGTTCTCCCAGAGGGGTCTGGCAAAGGCAAGGCAGCCTTCAGCAGCTCACTCAGTCCGCAGCTCACCTCCCATGCCCATGCAACCAAAAAAGGGGAAACAGCTAAATAAAACTGATCAAAGCCAAATATATACCCAGAGGAAAATCTCCAGAGATGGGATTCTCTCTGGAGTTTGCGGTATGATATGAAATATAACCAATTCTGTCTCTTTCATTTGAGAATAAATGTTTTCTTTTCTTTTCTTTTGGGGGCATTTCATCCCATCACCAACAGAGGCAGCAGCTAGGGACAGCTGTAGAGATGGAGATTGCCAAGATGCTGGAAGAGAACTCCAAGATTCTCAAGTTTGGATACCAGTTCACAAAGCAAGGTCCAAGGACCAGGGTGGCAGCAGCTATAACTAAAAACAATGATCTGGGTAAGATGCTACTACACCCACTCATCATTTGTTCTTATGAGCCAAGCCCTGACTTGCCTAGACATAGCTATTCCTGCCCTTACATAAGACTGATTTTTAACTTTGTAACATCCAATCTGCTGTATGTAAGGGGTGATGCTTGCCTCCATCACCTCAAGAGTAGAGAACAGCAATCTTATTGTGATTAAGAGCCATTCTTCTTCTTCTTTTCCCACTTGCGCTGGGAAGGTGAGTTACTTGAGCCTTTCCCTTGGAGCACCCAGGCTTCCCAGCTGCCCAGTCAGCTGTTCTGGCCAGTAAGTAGAGAGAGCCAAGCCTGGCCAAGAAGGGAACCAGAAAGACTTACTTGCCTGAGTGACCAACCACAGACAAAGACTATAATAAATAAATAAAATGAATACATAAATCAATAAAGCTTTTCAAGTTCTACCTGAGTAAGTGTGATGTGCTTTGCTGTGCATGCTCAACACACAACATATGGAGGAGCTGACTGGGCAGGAGTCGCTTACAGTAAAAATGGACCCTATGTGTTATTAATCAGTTCCACTTCACCTGTAGTGCCAAACTGGGTTGCCTTCACCGAGACAAATCCTCACCAGCTTCAGCTTGGGTTTCTCCCTGCAAGAACTAAGATAAAAATTGAGCTAGAATTCACTTATTTCACTCAGATCCTTTGTTTGAATTTTTAGTAGGAAAGTACTTGTAGAGCCTGTTCCTTCCTATTCATGTTACTGGGAGTGTCGAGTGTCACTGAGAAAGATGCTTAGATTCTCAGGAAAGCAATACTGAATGCTCTTCCCTTGTTTTACTGGTGCAGTTCGTAAAAAGCGAGTGGAAGGAGAGCGACAGTAGCCATGCCACAGAGGACGCAAAACACGATTGGAGGCAGCCAACAACTGCAATCTCAGAGTGTTCACTGGTCAGAAGGGAAGACACTGGAAAACCATTACAATGGGAGTTGCCTGTTTCCGTTCATGTCTCCTTTTAACCTTGAAAATACAGCCTGATCCTTTTTAACTTTCACAGTTAATTTAACTTTTATGATAAAAATTGATTGTTGGTTTGACATTAATGAAAAAAATGTTCTACAACATCTGAAGCCAATAAGCAGAATGTTACTGTGTTACTGAGCATAACATATGGTGACATTGACCTTTATTTTGGACACTTTTTGCCATGGTAAAATATAATCTCGTGTATGGATAAGGGATTTTCTGCTTAAAATGGAAATTCTAGGGCCAAGTCCTACAATGCCTTATGTTTGTGAATAGTCCTAACTTATGTATGAATTCAATGTGATGCTCCAGTAATGCCGTGCAAGTTTGCAGGATCACACCGCCGGGCCTCTCTCCTGCTCTCCGACCTGGACAACAGGAACTCTGCATTTGACAGAGCCCTGCTACCTCGTGTGGGTCTCTGCCCGTCCGAGTCCAAGAGCAGGATCACGCCCAGGTGCATAAGCATTGTCAAAGCTTACTTGTTTACATAAGCTGAGGTTCGTCAGGTGGATCATTTCACAATGTTACACTGATAATTGTTAACCTTACTCCGCAACGGAAAAGTAGGATTAGTGTTGCCAATCCTAGATACCTTAAACATTAGCTTTTTTTCTATTCCAGTAAGTTTTTATTTGTTACAGCAGTATTTGTTTTGCTTTGAGCCGTGTGTTTGACCTTTTTCAGTTCTGGTATTTATGTGCATTTGTTAGTGTTATAGAACTCAGGAGCTTTTAGATGAAGATTAATTAAATAGATAATCCAGGACAGTGGCTGTGCTACCAGGAAAAAACAGTAAGAACATAGCTGTACCAAATACCAAGCTTTCATTTATAGAGACCAGTTCGGGTTTGTCCTTGTATCCTAAAGCACTTAGGTATTTGCATTAGTACTTAGCTGAATAAGGGCAGATTTAAGCATATGCACAAATGCTTTGCTAAATCAGGGCCTTAACTCAGTTGCTGTACATGTTCTTAAGCCAGTGGAAAATACTTGTGAAGCAGCAGCTAACTCCAGTGCTCAACAGCATCAAAAATTTTAGTAGGAATTTAGTCCACAATGTTTTATTTTGTGTATTTCACAGTCTAAAACATTTTTCTCTACCACTACTTTATCACTGCCAACAGTTGTCTCTGATGAACAGCCAGAGGTTCCTTTTAGTTATAATTAAACATACCACAAGAGTTAAGGGAGACTCTGGTTAGGTTAGGTGTTTCACTGATCCCAGTGCTTTCAGAAAGCTGCAGGAATTTCCCTGGGGCTAACATGCTCCTGCAAAACACTAGCCTCTCCTCCAAGAGCTGCCCTGCTTCACTCACGCTGGTGGCAGAGGGCCTTCGGAGGTCAGCGTCACTGTGCTGCACTTGACCCAGGGGAGAGCTGTGAACTGCTGCACAGCCGGGCACTCAGGACTAGAAACTGGGAACAGCTGGTTGGCATATTCCCCTGAGCCTGAGGTTTTCCTGAGCCTAACTGCAGTGCAAGCAAGCAGGATGAACCCTCCTTCTGTGCCTTTTGTAATGGAAATGAGCAGGTCCAAGGCAGCACTGTTCCTGTGGGATTCTGATCTTCATACCTGAGCCCTAACTGAATAACGTACACCTAGATCCCACTTAAAATAATTTGCTAAATTGCTCTGCTGAATTGGGGTCTAAAGTACAATAGCTACAGTTTACCTCCGTGGAGAGCTCCCGGTCTTTAGTGTTTCCTCCTCTCCCCTCCCTCCTCAGATTAAGGCTAAAACCTTTGCTTCACAAGTAAAAAACGTAATACGTGAGGGAGTCTTGCTGAGATTTTTCCCTACATCCATGCAGGGTTTGCTTTGAAAAGCTTTGATATTCCATTAGAAAAGGGCAAGTTCTGTAACACAGTCATAACTCTGCATGGTCTTAGGTAAACAGCCCTTACAAACGTGAGGATTACCAGGGTTATAATGGGCTTGCAGCGTCAAGTCACGTGGGTAGACAGAAGCCCCATCGCCAAAGCCAAACAATTGCGGATGCTGACAAACTTCAGCAATCAGAATCACACTGTCCAGATTTTCCTCTCCTTTTGTTTGGATCCAAGCAGGGGAATCCCAAGTACCTATTACTGTTTTTTTTTTTTTTATGTATTTTAATGTTTTTTATTGGTTATCTTTTTTTTTTTTTTAAAGGATGATATGTGTGTATGTATGTTCAAGGGAAACAAGTGCAATCCATTTCTAGTCTTAATTGCCATTTAAAGTGTTGGCATTTGCATGCAGCAGTTTTATAAGGATGGATTGGTCTGGCTGCTTCATGATGGCTGCAGCATGTCATCCCGTATAGCTTTGCTCAGAGCCACACAAGCGGTTATATTGTCAGGTGGCTCCATCCATGTCAACTACAGCGTGCATCATGGACCAAGGTAACTGGTTTGGGAAGGCCCAGTGGCTTCCTCTTCCCTACATCTGCCATGCTCTTTGCACAGGCAAGTTTCTCCTAAAGGGAAGATTCCTCAGGCACTTGAGAGCAGGATCTCAAACCCTAGCCCCACTATGCACTAGGAGACAGCACTTGGAGCTGTACGCCCCTCGGCTGGGCACCTGGGAGGTCTAGCTCCTTCCAGCACGTATGAGGCAATCTCCTAATCCCTGGCCTGTTTGTCTATCCAGTGGGCTCCAGCGCGGCCGCTGCTCGGCCTGCCTGGGGTCTCCGTAGCCAGGGAACTTCGCTGTCCTCCCTCTTCTGCACGTTCCACGCAAGGGCTTGGTCACTATTTGGCCTTGTGCATCACAAATCAAATGTTATACCAGTATAAGGGTCTGCTCAATACAAAAACAGCAAATCAGCACCCTTATTGGTGATGCTTGAAAGCAACAGATTTTCATATAAAATGTAATATAGGATGATTTAGTTGGTTAAAATCCCTGCAGCTAACATGAAGGGGGTCAAGATGTGACTGGTTCCTTTTAATGTTCCACTTTCGAGCAACATCTTTTACACTCCCAGCTCAAGGGGACACAGGGACATGAGCCCTTTTTTTCTTAAGCAAACATTCAGGAGTAACTTTGTCTACTTTTGCACATTGCTTCTCGTGTTGACAGCTTAAGTTTGGTTTGTATTTTTTATACATTTTTTCCATGGAAAAGCTCAACATTGTGCATGTCCTAAAATTTGTGTGTATCGTAGCGTGCACTGAGGACAGTATGGTGTACATGTCAAACTCTAGATGAAGATGTTATCTCTGGAAAATAAATAATTGCATGCGCACAGTGTGGTGCATATTACTCAAGAGGAAGGGAATTACCACGCTATGTAACAGTGACTCCCCAACAACATGGTTTTTCTAAATAAATCTTCATAAAGAATGTGGCTTTTGTGTTTTCTTGTGGTTTTGTGCCTTGAATTAATCCTCCCTTAGTACATGACATCAGATTAAGCAGCTTTCTCCACTCTGCCTCTTGCAACTTTCACTTGGTCTAGATCTGCAAGGTTTCAGCTTCTCTCTCCCTCACACTACATGCACTGGGCTGGAGCTTTCTGAATCACTGTTGTGTGCTCACACCCAGGCCTGGGAGCAGAGTAATCTGGATTCTCCTCCCAGGTTTAACAGACCTCCCTGTGATTCTCAAAGGAAGATGCAATGAAAGAGAACTGTAAGTTTCTCCAAAAGCAGCTGAAGGGGAAGTTAACATCTCCCATTTTCAGAATAGGTCAATATCTGAGATACTTTGGATCAGATTTTCATGATGCATCTAGGCATCTCAAGTCTGCACAGAAACACCCGTGGAATTTTCAGGAGTAACTATACCCTAACTCTCACTAATTGTAATGTAAGCTTAATTACATAACATACTAGTTTCTGTCCTTACCATAAAAATCTAGCCCAGGTGTCCAACCCCCTTTTGGCATCTTAGATGCTTCTGAAAAATAATTGCCCATATTCCAAGACTAGATCATATTACTAGTTTAAAAAAAAAAAAAAAGCTATGTCAGGGCTGTAAAATTAAGTACACAGTGAAAAATGAAGGAGATTGAAAAGCAAAACTCTTATTCTAATATGCTTAATATCTTTTATAGCTCTGATTTCAATTTTTACAGCTCTGATAAATTATGTGACAAAGCAATAAGATTTCGGCAGGCTCCTGTTCTTTTCTGAACTACAAACAAGTGCAATTTATTGCACAGTTCCCACCAGTGGAGCTGCAAAGACTAGAATTCATTTTTCCTTTATCATGAATTCAGTTTTTCCAAGGAGCGAGAGAGAAAGGGAGAGATTTCATTGTTAAGCAAAATTTAGAATCCAATTCACCATTTTGGCTTTGGGATTCAAAAAATAAATATCACTTGTTCCCACTGAGAATTATCTGTCATTGACACATCTGCAGTGGCACTCAATACAGCTGAAAATTTTCCAGTGAAACCAATAAAGTTTTCTAAAAAATGAGCCATTCTCCTATTCCTTATAAAAATTAATCAGATAATCCATCTTTTGATGCAGGCAGGTTTAATCTAGACCTATTGTTATTTAATGGAGAATGGCCAATATGCGACTTTCTTTTACAGAGGCTTTTATACAATATAGAAACAAAATCCAGTCAGGATCAGTTCTGAAAGGATAACTATTTACAGGGACATGATGAAAAAGTATGGGCAGTCATAAGCCTAAAATTGCTATTGTCCAGTCAGGATCTAACATCCAAAACATTTTCCATGAGCATCAGACAGAGATGGACTACTTATCTCCTGCCCTCTCTCCTCAGCACATAGTGTCTCAGTAATTTTCCATACTGCACCTCATTAGATTTTGACACTAAGAACATATACTGATTTCTTCCACTGTATACAGAACTCTATAAGCTTCATGGCAATTGAGCACTTTGCCTGCTTAGATGTCTTCATAAGTCATCAGTCTGTGCCCTTCGGCACCCTAATGAAGTTGTTAAGCTGACCCTTAGAACCTATGCCACACGTAAAAAGAACTCTACAGTGTGTATACACACACACACACACACATATCTATATAAAACTACAACGTATAAGGACAGTTTCTTTAAAAAAAAAAAAAAGAGAGAGAGAAAAAAAAGAAACCCCAAACATATCCTCACAAATGATAGCTCTCTACAAGCCTTGGGAAGTTACCCAAAAGATGAACAAATTTGGGAACAGGCACACAAAGGAAGTCAGGCAACCAGGAGCCACCTCTGAGAACGCCAGGTCTATTAAAACAGGTCTTTACACACCAGAGCATGTGCCATTCTACAAATACTTTTTCAGTTGAAAACGACATTTACAAATGTTCTCCAACTGTTATGAACGTTTCTGCCAAGAAGCTTTTACTAAATTTCTGGACTAGGCAAACACACTTTTTTGCATATTGTGCTAGCCATAGCAAGCCTTTTCAAGCTTATGTCATGACTGCCTCAATAACTCCTACTTCTCAATCTTCCCCATCCCGCTTCTATCAGGTAAACTTTAATCTGCTGCTTGCACTGCTTCATTCAGTCACCCTTAGTTTCTGTCTCAGAATTTAAATGCAATTCACTTGCGTGATTAATATAAGGGAAGTTAAACACTGCTGCTACTTTGCAACCTGAATGCAACCCGATGAGGTGCTAAAATAGTCTGGGTTTCACAACAGAATATCTAAAGACAAATGCAACTTCCATCATCTGTCTGCCAAGGTGTGAAAACCAAACACTCAGTAAAAACTCTGCACTGTCAGAGTTGGGGCAGGGGGAAGGTTGCAGGGAGGAAGAAATCAGCAGAGGTTCTCACCTTCTACGGGGGCCCCAAGCTGCGCACTAGGTCTGCCTGCATAACGAGAGAAGTCACACATCATCCTCAGTTCATTTAGTCTGTATTGCCACCACAGCGATTGCCGATTGCCGTTCAGAATCAAAAGTAATCAACAAAGCTATTCCCAGTAGTCACTGGAATGAAACCTAAAGGGACTCAACGTGGTATCACTCACTGAGATTCATCGCTACTCCTGTTTGCACTGGGCATCCTTTCTCCAGCCTCAATAAACCTCACTTGTAATAAGGCCAGCTGTACTTCTAGTTGTTTGCAGACTTTGCACAGATCACCTTCCAGCTACCAGAGGAGCAGTGACAGACTGTACATCTCATCCAGGTACAGAGAGCAATGGAGTGTAAATGCCTGCCTCCAACGGCCATGCTTGAGGCTTCCTAGGAAGGCCAACTTTTTGCTTTTAACCCTTCTTTCCCCAGCAGATTCACATTCCCTCCTGCTTGTTGACTAAACAAAAGGCACAAGGAAAGAAAACATCTGGCCCGCCCATTCAAAGACTGCCTTTACTTCTGTCAATAGTTTGATTACCTCCGAAATCTCACAGTATCTTTCTACTTTTCCTGTCTTGCATGCCAAAAAACTGATGAGAGACTTCAAGAAAATGAGGAAATATCTCACAGTGAGAGAAGATATATATCTGTGTCCCAGTATGTGGTTCTGCTGGGATTTGCAGGGCCTAACATCGGGGGAGTGGTCATGGGAACTATGTAGCAAAACTCCCAGATCTTAGTGTAAGAGAGAATCCAGCTGCAAAGGAGCTTGTGAGGTCATGCACTCCATTTCCTATCCCCAAGCTAGGATATTATTTCTACATACTTCCTAGCTTTTTCAAACAAAGGAAAAGGGCTCTTCAAAGACTGGTTTTGGTCCTGCATCCCTTTTGTTAGATGGGTTGTGTTGAGGTCACCTGGAATTTTGGCTTTGAATGGGATACAGGCCGAGGACCACAGCTGCTCTAACCCACTTTCTCACTCTGAACACTTATTTTGGGAATCAGCCTCTTTTGTTCCTGTTTCTTCTCAGAACGAACATTTCACATATGAACAGCTGAAAAACAGCTCATTTACAAAAAGAGGATCGATGCTATTCCTATAGTCTCTGAGCACGCATCTCCATTTCTTTGCTATTCCAGTCTCTCTTCTCCTCTCCCAAGCCTGAGTGAACCAGGTGCTTCATTTTCTACAAGGAAGGCCAGGTCAGTCCCCACATGATTGATATGGAGTGACAGCCTCACTGCAGCAAGCTGAATTTACTGCTGGCCCATCATCTTCTGCTTCTACCATGCAGGTCCCTTGATTTTGTTCTTTTGATATATCTACCCAAAAGTCAAATGTTCTCAATTTAAGCTGATACACAAGACAGGCAGTTCCAAGAGAGAGAGATGTCACTTGACTAAAATTTTCTGCTATATGGAAGTATCTCTGATCTGTTTCTTTGTGTGTGCACACTCCTCTGGATACAGCCAGGAGCTCTGCATTCTGCGTCCAGTGTCGAACTGCTGCCAAACCTGCAGAGGGCTGGCAACAAAATGCAGTTTGGGGAGAGCATTCACTGCTGGGGAGAGGGGCCATAAGCACAGCACTCTGTTGGGGGTGAGGGCACTTTGGACAGCAGTCACTAAAACATGCAACTCTCATAAATGAATATTTATTTTTTAACCTTTTCATTAGATGTCAGTATTTGCACATTAACATAGTAATAAACAAGAAAACTGTCATTCTAACCTCTCTTCAAACTTAGACAAACACTTGCTATAGATCAAGCAAGGGACTATGGTCAATGGCCCTTGAGGTTTGCTATTTGAGGAAAGGAGGAAGGGAAAAATAAGCCACAGAACTGTGCTCAGATGGTTCCCAGCCACAGTAAAGTGTTTTAAATATTCATGCTTCTCTTGTCCATTCTGGCAGAGCAGATGAGCACAAACAAAAGAAACATGAGGGGCCTCCCTTAATGAGGGTCTGTTTGCTTCTTATAGCCAGCTGCCTGACTTTATTGAGTCTGACATTAGGTAGACTCGTTCAATGAGCAAGGGAGGGAAAGACAAGGCATTCAGATAAAGCAATTGCATGTATTGCTTTGCTCTCTGATCTTCTATGATAATGATTGCACTGATGATATATTGAACAGAATCTGGAAGCAAATTTCATACTGCAAATTGTTTGTTGGTTCCCATCAGCCACAACAGATATAGGTCACTTGTGAACGTTGCTTGGACTCTCTCAGTCAATCTGTGCTGGTGAACACTATATGCAAGAACTACCCAGACTTGAGAGTCTTACATTAACTCTGTCTCTTGTCCATGAAAAGGTCATATATGATGAGTACATCAACTATCTAAATCAGCATTGGGAGCTTTCAAATAATGAGAGTGAAGAAACAGAGATCACTAGGTGCAAGTGATCACAGGTCACTTCACTCTGTGCTCAGGGACAGAAAAAAGACGACATCTGCAGGAGCTGCTACCGAGGATTTCCCCCCGCAGCCCAGCCCACACAGCCCCCGGCAGCTGCCTTTGCCCACTAGGCGGCACAGTCGCTCTATTCCATCGTGGCAGTTTTTTCTGCATGCTTTTAAGGCTGTTTGAGAAAAAAAAAAAAAAAAAAAAGAGCTGCTAAAAAGGATTTACCCCCCCAGGCAAGAACACACAGCCCCCGGCAGCTGCCTTTGCCCACTAGGCGGCACAGTCGCTCTATTCCATCGTGGCAGTTTTTTCTGCATGCTTTTAAGGCTGTTTGAGAAAAAAAAAAAAAAAAAATAGATGTCACTAAATGTGTCAAGCCCACTAGGAAATAAGGACAGCCCCTCAAAATAATCGCCTTTAAATTCTGGTGCTCAGAAAAGATCGCTATGTGGCTGCTGATTAAAGTTCCAGTGCGCACTCTCCCCCGCTTCACACTTCCCATGCTCTAGCTGAACCAGCTAACTGCTATGGCATCTTCTTCAACGCACATTAGGAAAGCTTATGGCATCTCTTCTGAGACCGGAATAAGGTCAAGAACACCTTTTATGAAGCTGGACTTAGTTCTCTCACATTTAAGTCACTCCCCTTACAATGTTTTTATGCACAGCACTGCATCTCGTACGTGGAGAAGATTAACAGCGCATCACGGACAGGAAGAAGGGAAACAGCAGTTTGATTGCCGCGATCAGACAAAAGTGCTCAGCAGCTGCAACAGACCCAGACAGCTGGGACATAAGCAGTTATGCCACCTGCCAAAAGCTTCAGTCCCTTCCAGCACCGCTCAGTCTGAAAGATCATTTCTATGATGAGAAAGCAACTGAAGCTTTAAATGAAGATAAATGATGACATTTAAATAAAAATGTTTTGGCTTCCATTTGTTGAACGTTTTTTCATTAAAAACTGGACACAGTTATATGTAATATCTTCACATTATTTCCTATTCTCATAAGTATAAAAATAGAAAATATAAGTTAAAACATGATTTCCTGTCACTCTGACACACTCAGTCTGACTCCATAATTAAATGAGCAAACCAGAACTCTTAAGTTAGTTTCAATATTTGTACAATGGAAAGCACTCTCTCTCAGAGGAGAAATGGCATGATCCTGTATGTCCTGAAGTCAGCTGGGACACAAACCTGTGCACGGCCAGCACCAAGAAGAGAAGCAATGCCCAGAAACACCAGCTGAAGTACCTGCTGTTATTGTGAAGGACTCACTGGGCTGTGCCGCTAGACTGGAGACAGAATGCGTTACAAAGAAAATCCAAGGATGAGCTCTGGGTGCTGAGGAAGACATGAGCAGGCTTGTAAAGCCTTGCTTATTTTTTTTCTGCTGATGCACACAGTCACTCCAATGTTCAATTATATGCCACTCATATCAGTCTCAGATGATCTATTGCAAAGGCCATATGCGTACTTAACCACCCTGACGGGGCAACATGACTGCTTTGCCTGTGGGTTACTGCTCTTGCTGTTCAAAACAGCTCTTGCTGTTTTGAAACTGCTTAATGCTTTACAACAATGATTCCTTGGGTCCCATTTTTCACCACAGGGGCTTATGGGATCACCCAGTCTGGCCTCTTGTGTATCTGACATTCTTAAATTGCAGGCACAATACATTGCATCCCGCCTATAACTTAGTCAGATCACATACTTAAATCCTTTGGAGTAAAACAAAAGAGCTGAAACTGCAAAACTGCGTATCAGAGAATAAGTGATACAATAGCAGAAAGGAATTAGGTAGAATATATGCAGGTGTTTCCACAGGGTGAAAGTAAAACCCACCTGCTACAGAGGAGTTGAAAAGCCTGAAGTCTGCCAGCCCAGCTTGGTGGGGAAACATCAGCTCAAAGCTGGTGATTAACTTGACCCTGGCCAAACAAGCAGGACACATTGTTTAGACACACAAGAGGAGCTTTCTGAGATACTTCAGAGCATTGGCACCAATGTTCTGGATCCTTTTCCGGTGTTCACATTGAGTCCAATCATTCACTCCCCCTGGAGCTTAACAAAGAAGATCTCAGCAGGCTAATTCACTTGTAGATGTGTAAATTAGGGCCAAGCTAATCAACCCCTTGGATGACCCTTTGAATCTCCTCCCCTGAATACAGCTCCTCTGAAATCCAAGAGAAATTTACCTCACAAACAGTTTAGATACTACAAAAGGCACATACGGTAAAACTCTCATCCCAGGTCCGAGGAATCTACGCTCCACAGAGCCAGAGTCTAATCTAATAACCATCCAAGTCAGCAAGCACCTTTTAACTGATTTCACTTGGACCATGTCCAACCTGCAGTACATATGCTGATGGTGCCTAAGCAGGCTGCATCCACCTTTTAAGAGTTTAGAATAAATACTACTGCTGGGTGGAATCATATACAGAAATCCTCTCTTATCTGCTGCCCTGGGCAGGAACAGGGTTTCTAAGTTGTTAGGGAAAACCAAAGCAAGCAGCAAATTACTGCTCGTTCTTTCCTGTTCGTCGTCGTCACTGAATGGTGATTAATTTACTGGGTTTTAACAGGGGGTGCACACGTACTGCGTTGGGAATGCCACAGTCACCTACTATTAATTAACATCAATGTTTTGCAAAGGCAAATGACGAAGTTAGCTCAGCAAATTTTACAAGTGGTAAGAACAAAAACAAGAGCTCTGAAACAAACGTTGGCATTCAGTGGGCTTCCCTGTGTGTTACAGCTCTGCACTCTCCTACCATGGCATAGGGTAGATTAGTATTGGCTGCTCCTTTCCCAGGGACAGAGCACATCAGGTCTGCCTCAAGTAACAAAGAAGCAGCAGGAGGACAAACAAGTTACTCATGGATAACTGAAGAGGAAGGACGGGAGGCAGGACGGGATTTGGGCTGAATGTGTAGCCCTCACTGTAAATGCACTGAGATTTTTGCAAAGCAGTAGAACAAGTAAAGAGCATCAAAAATTAAAAATACTTTTGAGGTGATGCATCTTCATAAGGTTCTCTAAACTGACTTAAATCCATAGGTGGCTAAATCTCTTTGGTTACTGATCCTCAGAACATCCTCTCTGATGAGGATTTTTACACTTAGAAAATAAACACTTTTTAACACCTGCTTTAGCCCTGGCTATCAACTGCACTCCCTCTTTGACTGGTACAGATAATACTCCAGTTTACAGGCTTTCTTCATCTCATTAATAAATCACACGTCACGGCAGTTTGCCAAACAATTTTGGTCCAAAAATTTCAAAGTACTTAAACATTGAGTACTGTAGGCATCCTTCACACATTATAGAGGCAGACACTGAGGCAGAGATGGATTATTAGTATTCAGCACTTTTCTCCCATTCACCCAAGAAAATGTTACGAACAGAAGTCACCTTCAGGTTCCCTGCAGGGCCTGTTGCATTTCCCTGTCGGTCAAGATTCGTCTACCAGTCACCCATTTGTTCTCCAGTGCAGCTCATTGGGGCTGCAGTAATATTTCTCTTTCCCCTCTAATCTCTGCTGTGAGTCACCAAAACCTTTACTCCCTGTCTGAGTAGGAGCGAAGAGCAGCGTCACACTCTCTCTCTCCGCTGGCCTGCAGCCAGGCACCCGAGCAGAGCCGAAAGGGGAGCAGGAGGAGCGTGACTCATGCAGCAGCATCTAGGGACAGCACTGTCATGGCAACAGTGCTTTTAACCATTGTATTACTCAGACTATGTAGCTTTTAATTAATGGTCTGTTTCTGTCCCTGTTTTCCCACAGTCTTAACGTTTATCTCATTCCCTGCAAGCCCCTTAAAGACTTCAAACAGGCAGCAATCAGCAGAAACTAAAGCAGTCCGAATAGTGTAGGGGAGAAACCTGCTGAGCTTCGAGAAGCCGTGCTGAAGCGGAGCCAGCCTCGGACCACTAGCCTAACCACTGCCTCAAAGGAGGGAAGTGCTGACCTGATGGATGCCAAGGAGAAGATGTGCCTTGTGCCTTTATGCTCATCCCTAAAAGAACCCTGAGATTCACCACCAACACCAGATCAGCCTCTAATATTCAGCAAGTCCCTTCAGCATCAGGGTAAGGAAGGAAAATAAAGCAGAGAATATAGTTGGAAAAGAAAGGTTCCCCAGATGTCCCCTCTATTCTTTCATTGCTCAGGGGAGGAAGAGGTCAGGATTTGCCCACTCTCCTCTCAGCAGAAGAATTAAGATTGACCAGAAATAAGTTTATCCCTTCTGATAAATTGAAAGTAGGCTACTCACCTTCAGGAATCCACAGATCAACAGCTGGAAATCATTTAATATAGAGAGTTCAAAACTGAAGACAGCGGGAAATATTTTTTTGATTCAGTATTCAGTGAAGGTCTATTCAAATGATCCTTTAGGAAAAGAGATGCAAAAATGCAAATCAACAACAGAAAACAAGACTCTGAATATATTTGTAGTTTTTAGCAATGACAGTTTTGAAACACCTAGTAAAGGAAATTCCATTTACAACATGGAAAGTTCTCTTAGGGCTACACAAGAAAACAGAGTGGATGATAACACACTTTTTTAATAAAGAAAATAAGCAACTCTGGAGAAGATATACAATAAGTACTGCAGGGATCCACTTCTAAAGATGAGGAACTGCAATTCACCTAACAGATCAGTCTGGGCTCTTATAGAAAAACACAACTAAATGTGCCAAGGGAGACAAAAAGCAAAATACTCAAGTGGTTTTTAAAAAGTTAGAATAAGATGCAATTTATTTGTTTGCTTTTTCAGTTATGAAAACTTGCATTCTCACGGGCCTGATTTAAACTATTATTGATTCATGCCTAAACCTCTGTACATCCAGACCAACATATGCCCACTGTAACCACTCAGAACTGTTCCACTAGATCATGTCCCTCCAGTACAGCTGAATGGACCAGCAACACGACTCACTGAGTACATGGCCTTTGCACAGATACCATCTACAGTTTTTTTAGGATTGGTTCCTGAGTGATGACTATTCTTAACAGCTGGAAAAAGGATTCATCTCTTTAATCACAAGGTCATTACATATGCCACAACCGTATACATACAGTCACTGATGTTCATCCCATCTACACATGTTCAGATACATCATTAAAAAGAAGTTTCCAGTCATACTACAGAACCCAGTTCTCCTCACTAGTCCTCTAAACTTCCTTTCCAGTTAATATATGCTGCACCCAACCATTTTCATGCCGCTAAGGAAAGGGCTGCAGATCTACTAGCAGCAGCAAACAGCAGCATTTTGACAATCTCCGTTTTCCCTTTAACTAAAAGTACTCAAGTTAATCTCCACTTTACCCACGTATAAAATACAGATTTAAAATAAATAGCACTGCTAATATATACCAGGCATGCAATAGGATGCAGAAGAATAAGACCCGCTTTTCCCCCCCTATTGTCTGATGTCCACAATAAAAAAAGATTTGCAGTGTACAGGCAGGTAGCCAACAGTCACTCAGTATGGGGGGGATAACACCACAGTTCTGCTGCTTCCAAGACTTTACAATTTGACTTCAAGGTTCATATTTTGAAGTGCTCTTTTCCTTGAATGCAGACGGCACAAAAGAAAAGACTCTTCTCCGGGTACAGCCAAGCCTTTAGCTAAAAGCTCTGCATCGTACAGAGCTCCCCATTCTAAACCTGAGCATGACTTAGTGATGTAAATCAGCATCTGGACTTCCCTCTCTACCCCACTCCTCAGAGGTAGTTTACTCTTTGTCTCCCAGGAAAGACTAAGGCAAGTTCAGCAAGAGCTATACATCTTGTGAGGGCCAAATGGCAAACTGCCCAGCAGAAATTCCTGAGGACGGTCTAAGGAGCCAAGGACTCATTTTGGCACAAGGAGGAGCAGGGACACATTATTTTTCCAGAACATTGCCTTCTCTTGAATGGGAGTTATGGAGGCTCCTCTTGGGTGAGAAGGCATTTTTTGTCATTCACTTCAGGAGCGAGATACAATGGGGTGTAATGTTAACAAGGTAGAAGTAATCAGTTTACAGGTATTGTTTCTAGGACGACACAGAGAAGATCAAACTTATTTTTCAGAATGACCAGTCCAGTCATAATAAACTTGCATTCTCTTCAGAAAGGATAATGCTGCTTGTAAATTTTTTTCCCTGACATGTATCAGACTTCTTGCATTTAAAGATTTTTATTCATGGCATTAATTTATAGGAAACACAGTAAATCAGAGAATGCTTTATAATTCTCAGAGATGGTTTTGCAACCAGCAACTGCTTAGCTTGCAATCAAAGGCTACACGGCACAACAGACCTCATCTCTCCAGCTGTGGCACATGCAGTTTACCCTGGAAGCAAGGCAGAGGAGGCAACGCTGCATCAGGGCGCCCACTGACCTGGGAGCACAGCGCAGCGCCTGTAGAAGGAGGAGGGGGACTCTCGGAGATTCTATCCAGGACACATCACCTTTCTTTTCCCCAGCACCTGGTTTGCTTTTTAACATCTATTCTGAGCACAGTGCATTATGGCAACATTAGCTGATGGTAAAGATGACAACAGGTAGCTTTCTCCAGGGAAAAGGTTCATTTCATGAGACTATGGAATAGTATCACCTAAGACGCTATCACTAACTTCCTCTATTCCAGGGCCCCAAGCACGCCACTGTCGCGGTACTAACAACGGATACTTTAAATGGTCACCCATCATCAGGGCAGCTGAAGAAAACTCTTCTATGTTCCAGGCTCAGGACCGGATTCTGATTCCAGCTGCATCAATAAAACCAAGACTCACTTTTGTTGTCTTGACATCATCCCATTTACACATTCAAACTTTGAGAAGAATCATGCTTTTAATTTTAATTCACAAGGACTTGAAGGATTTCTGGATTTGGCGATTTACACAACAGACAAATCACCATTCATGTTCTTGTTAGGAGACAAAATACAGATACCGTTTATGGTGATAGGCTGGCCTAAGTCTCCCTGAAATTCAGTATAAACAGTAACTGCTATTTAGCTCTAAGGAGTGACTAAGCTTCTCTGTATAATGACACAGCTGAAACAATACTAACCTCATTCCCAACTCAGATGTAACCATCTAAAACAAAACCATATATCAGAAAGACGGAGGGAAACAGAGCTCTCTATTAGGAAATGCTACTACTCTGCTTAAGGTTTGAGTCTAGAAAGAAACTTGAGAAGGACCAGAGAGCCTGAGAGAATAAAAGCACCCAGAAAACCAACATGGATACATTAACAGAACACCTGCCACTTTAAAATGAAACTTTATGGACTTTGAATGAAACTAAAAGCAGATTTTGTACACAGATGTGAGATGTTGACAATGGATGACAAGCAGAAATCCTTGCAAGGAAGACCACATCTACAAGCAAACACATTTGCTTTGGCAACTCCAGACCAGTGATTCTAGTTAGAAAAGTGAATAAATGACTAGCATGGCATAATGTTTTCCATTGCAGAGAAACACATTTTAGTGTAATTACTTCTAGAAAAGACAAACTTCAATGGGTATCCTAGTCTTTAATCTCCCTAGGCTTTACCTTTGAAATGCGAGTCCTGAATACACATTCTATTTGATTTATGTGTTTGCAAGATTTAACATTCAACACAGAAGTCTCTGTTTACACAGGCAGGTGAGGAGTTGGTGATGAAAAAACAGAGCTACACGATGTTAGAAAGGACATAGCCCAAATGAGGATGAGTAATGATACCTACTTCCTCAGATGTGCGTCAGAAACAACCATCATTAAGAGGCCTGGACAGTTAATATTTGCAATGCTGCTGTTAGTTTTTAAATTATTCAAGGGCAGAAAGATTTATGATTCATAAAGAGGCTTTTAAGAAGATGAGTCTAAGCCCTGCACTGGAGCAGACCAGGTAGTACTGGTAGCCCAGATAATCACTTGGGTCAATTAAAAGCTACAAAACTAGCTCTAATGCCTGCGTGTGCATTTATAACAGTGGTTTATACTTCATGGAGCCTAGCAGCCTCAGCTGAATGGAAGGCTTCAGGTGCCATGGAGGGCACAAATACAAAAGTATCGTTCCAAAGAGATCATAATTATTATAAATATATAAGATAGGCTGGCCTAAGTCTCCCTGAAATTCAGTATAAACAGTAACTGCTATTTAGCTCTAAGGAGTGACTAAGCTTCTCTGTATAATGACACAGCTGAAACAATACTAACCTCATTCCCAACTCAGATGTAACCATCTAAAACAAAACCATATATCAGAAAGACGGAGGGAAACAGAGCTCTCTATTAGGAAATGCTACTACTCTGCTTAAGGTTTGAGTCTAGAAAGAAACTTGAGAAGGACCAGAGAGCCTGAGAGAATAAAAGCACCCAGAAAACCAACATGGATACATTAACAGAACACCTGCCACTTTAAAATGAAACTTTATGGACTTTGAATGAAACTAAAAGCAGATTTTGTACACAGATGTGAGATGTTGACAATGGATGACAAGCAGAAATCCTTGCAAGGAAGACCACATCTACAAGCAAACACATTTGCTTTGGC